TGGGTCATATTATTTAAAAATTAATTCAACTATGCACTTAATTTGTAAAAGGCATATATAAATATATCTTGAACACTCTTAGAAAAGAAAAACTAAGAGTTATAAACTGTAAAAAAAAAAAAAAGAAAACATGCACATCCAGCCAATACAAACAAAAACTTCCCTATGTGCAACTACTGCAGTAGGTAGAGAGGATGACTGCAATCAAGAGAACAGTTCCACCATTCAACTGACAAGTATCCTAAAAGTCAGAGAAAAAGGGTCTTTTGAGGGAGGTATGAACAAGACCAGAAGAGGGTCTGGGGGACTGGGGTGAGTAGGAGGCATAATCAAATCAATAGGTAATATTAATTTGAGATTTCTTTGCGATTCCAGTTCTTGGGTGAGACCACAAAGGAAGAGTTTTTCTACATTCTAGTGGTAGCATTGCATGAACTCTGGGGCAAGTCAAAGTTCAAAGCAGAAGAGCAATACATAACCAAGTTTTGGTCACATATGGGGGCATTTTTTTTCAGATTGCTCAGTGAGAATAAACAGCAGTGAATCATTTATTAATCAAAGAGTCGTGCTTTAGAGCCTCTGTGTCTGGCCTTGTGGTTGGTGATTAAGGGGATCATGTTAAGAGTGATCTAAGTTGTGTGGAGAAGGGGGTTCTTTGAGGCAAGCTGTTTTACTAGAACACAAAAATGTTCACTGTTTTCCAGAAGCAAAGGATCAGGTAAAGCTCAACCTTTTTTCAAAACAAATACAGTCTTCTATTTTATCTCATAAAATATTATTTTATGTCATGACAATGTTTAATGTTTCCAGCTTCTCCAATCTCCTCAGTGATGTTGGCAAGAGCCCAGCAATTCTCATTCAAAGTATCTTTGAAGAGCCTGCCCTTGATCAAACAGCACTCTAAGAGATGAAAGTCATCATATCTGCTTGGGATAAAGATTGCAACTTCTGTCTCCACCGCCTTTTCTCTAGTCACTGTTAATCCACAATGGCCTTCACATTTAGAGGACTTTTATAAAATATCCAGGAGACTTGACTAAATGTGAAAAGCTTTTCTATAGACAGACCCATTATTCTACTTTATTCTATTCAGCAATCTCATACTGCTTTCTCCTTTCTGTTTTTCTCGCCCAGCTACCTTAATTTCCTAAAATTCCTTCAACTGTATCTTCTGGAATGTTTCATTATCACCTAACCTACATGTCCTGAACTTTTTCTCAGTGTTCTCTCTTCCTCCCAGTCAGAGTAAATCTCTTAAGAGAAAGCTTCTGTCCAAAAAAGGCATTCAGTCATTCAAGTTTCTCCCTCATTTTTGTCCTCAACCATCTCCATGTGAAACGGAAACAACTGAAAAGAGTAAGAGCTCTCAATGGCCATTCACCAGTGAGTTTGGGGACTTCACTTTCCCCTTAATGTTCCTGTCTCTTCTGTTTCCACATTTGATTTCTCACTCAATTCCCCTTCAGTAGTTGTCATTCTTGGTTGTACACTGTAATACTTGGGGAGCATTTAAAAATACTGGTGGCTTGTCTCACCCCATCCCACTATCCCAGAACCCCTGCACCAAGGTTCTTATTTAACTAGTCTGATGCACTGCCTTTTTGAAAGCCCCCCAGATGATCCTCACACATGTTCTGGGTGGCCAGTGCTTCACTCAAGGTTTTTCTTTCCATCTAATGAGACCAGATGTGGGTTTTTTCCCAGAGATCAGGACCAACTACATAAATTATGACATGAGGAGCAAAATGAAAATACAGGAGCCCTTGTTAAAAATCAAGAATGTGAAGTGTGAAAGCATGGTATTAAACCAAGCATGGGGCCCGATGCATAAGGGTCAGGGCCCTCAAGCTAGACCTGCCTGAGAGCCATTAGAAAGAGGGAAAGGATTTCCCCTGGGGGATAATTTTTTTTCATCCATATCGTTTGGTCTCGCTACTGTTTATTCACTCACCTATTCTGAAGATTGCATTATCCTGCTCCCAAGCCCAAAGCCTGCTTCAGTGGGTAAAGATACTTTTTTTTTACATCCAACTTTATTTTTGTATATATGTTTTACATCATTCTTCATTTTTGTACAAGGTATGCTTTCTCAGCTTGGTTATAGTCCCTGTGAAATTCCCACAACCAATTCACCCATAAGCCATCATCACAGTCCCATGTGCTCTTTTCTCACCTGTTTTGATCCCTCCCCCTTCCCTTCAGAATATCTGATTTATAGTTGCCTGTTAATTTTGGTTTTTAAATTATTATCATTCTTTTTTTCCTGATCCCTTATTTGGATCCTCTATATTCCTCCTAAAAGTGAAACCATCCAGTACTTTTCTTTCTCTTTCTGGCTTATGTCACTAAGCAGGATCCCTACCAGCTCCATTCAAGTTGCTGTGAATGGCATCAGTTTATCTTTTGTGATTGCTGAGTAATATCTCATTGCGTATATGTATCACATCTTCCTGATCCAATCAATTTTAGGGCATTTGATTGTTTCCATAGCTTACTTATTGTAAATAGTGCTGCAATAAACATAGAGGTGCACGTGTCCTTTTGAATTAATGTTTCTGTGTTTTTTGGGTAGATCCCTAGGAGTGAAATTGCTGGATTACATAGAAGGTCCATTTTTAGCATTTTGAGAAACCTCGAAACAGCTTTCCATAGTGTTTGGGCCAGTTTGCACTCCCACCAGCAGTGTAGGAGAGTTCCTTTTTCTCCACATCCTCGCTAAGATATTTTTAAGAGTAACCTGAACTATGGTAGAATGTTCTCTTTGCTTGGCAATGACATTTTGAAGGGACATCGTCCTTTTTTCCTGACCTGGCTGCTGCTAGGAAATTTTAATGATTATTTTTTAAAAGTAAATTTTTCATTTATTTTGATTGGTTTTAGGAAAAGACATAGCTTTATCCAACAGTTTTACCTAGAAGACCTTCTGTAGTTTTGATTTTGTACCTTAAGTTGATACATTTAAGGAATGAAATCATTAATTTTCAGGTGAATATTAACTAGGACAAAGAGTGTGAGGAAATGATCTGAAAACCGTCATTGTATAAAAAGTGAGAATTCCTAAAGCAAATCGCCCTACTTCGAGTGACCGACAATGAAATGACCAAATACTTAACAAATACATATAATTCTGCATGCCTTTGTGGACTTATTTTCTTCTTGCCAATCCTGCTTGTTTCATTTCCATCTCCTTCTCCCTCCAACTTTAAGAAGGGATTTCACACATTTCAAAGTAAATAAAGTTAAGTAAATAAAGTTAAGATAATGTAAGTTTCAACTTGAATGAAAGTTAAGAATCACAGAAACACAGAAACATCATAATCATCACATCCTTTAAAATGAAAGCATTTTTGACTCCTGGGCCAGGATTGCAACTGAATTTCAGGATCAAGCATTCCCTTTCTCCAGAAAAATGGAGCTGTCAGCACCTCTGACAGGACCCTGCATCTAATACTCAGCTGACCTTGTGGCATGCAGTGGATTTACAACACCTCAGAGTGGGAAGGAGCAGCACTGCTGTGATATAGCGCTATGTCAAGTCAAGTGGGAGAAAGGCTGCTCAGTCAGGATCTCAGGGAGACTTTAATCCTCACTAGACCGGAGCTGAAATTTATATGACAAGCAGATGTGAAATCTCAGGGAATGAAACTGCCAGGGGCTCAACAAAAACACATGGAAAAAGGAAAATAAAGGCTCATAATGTGAGATATTTAACAGAGAGCCTAACAGGTTAACGTGACTCTAGTTCGCAGAGGGCAATCCTCTGGCTGATAAGATTTACTGAAATATTTCCTTCCTCACTTTTTAAACATGTTCTTCCAATTCTTCAAAGTTAAGCTCCAGTCCAAATGACTAAGTGAAGTTTTCCCTGAAGACATTATCACTATTCTATTTTTTTCTAAAAGCAGCTCTGTTATTGATCCCACATTTTAAAACTATGTTTTACTGGATTCAGGTCCATTGATAAATCACTCACGTTAATGTTAGGAAATTAATACAAAATGCAGAATATGGTTTTGTCTTATCAACGAGAATTCTTGATCCTCGGGGAAGACTAATACAAATCCTGTATCATCATGTTGCTCATAACCAGCTTGCCTGTAATGCTGAGAATCTACTGGACAGACATCCAGTCACATTGCATATTAATGGGTATATTGAAAGGCTGAAGTATAACTTGTCAGTTCTGAATAAAGTATTTTTTAAGTAAATATAATCCTGTGAATTTAGAATAAACTTTAATTTAGAGTTAACAATTTTTAACCAGTATGAAAGTTTGCTCAGCTATGTGAAAAGACAAAAACTAGAGGGGGAAAGGAAAGAGAAACAAGAAACACACAAAGGCATGATGCCATGTGGATGAAAGAGCAACATCTTCAGCTTCTGTACCGATGATGTGTGGTCCCAATCTCCTCGGCTGTATTTTATCCTAGGGTAGTAGACATATGTTTTAAACATTTATCTGCACACACAGTCTTACAGAACAACGTTTCCTTGTAAAAAGAAGGCAGATCTTGGGTGGAAATTTAATATGAACCACCAAACTGTGTGGTAAAATCACCTTTACTGAATGTCACAAATTAACTTGGTGGTCAAAGTTGATTCCCTAAGGTAAAAGCCAAAACCGAGAAAAATTCCAATTCTGTTCCTAATATTAGCGCAGTAATAACTTTAGTGGCTTGAGTTTGAATTTTTGAAAGAGAAAATACAGCCATTTGGGACAAGAGAAAGGTCGAGAGAACTTTAGAATTCTGATTTTCTATTTGCTGACTTGTGTTTTCTGTGAGGATGACAGATCCTTGCCAGGTTATACTGAGAATAGGGAATGTGCCTTCAAGTACACAATACACACACATTACGAATTGTAGATGCTTGGGCCTCCCTGGTGGCACAAGGGTTTAAGCACCGCACTATGAAGCAATCAGCAGCCTCTGCAGCAAGAGTTCGATCCCGTGCTGGCAGGGGAGCAACCCACATGGCACAGTAGACCTCTCCTGACTCACCTGCTGCTCCCCCCAGCATGTGCTCCGGTTAGCCTGCCTATTCCGTTCCTCACTGTCTCTGGTGAATCCTCTCACCCCCCGCATCTCTAGCCTGTACCGCAGCTCTTGTATGCATGGATAGATAAATCTTAAAAAAAAAAAAAATGTAGATGCAAGTTCATTATCTCATCTGTGCCTAGAAAACAAAGGGGAAACTACATTTAACCCATGGAGTGACCATTTTAGCTTTACAACAGTAAACAATAATTGCCAACATCTTTCACTCAAGGTCATGAACTATTTCAACGAATCTGACTGGTTCCACTGGAATAGGCTGGCGAACTGAATTACTTATAATGGTATAAGAAAAGGAGGTTTGAATTTGAATTCTTTATAAAAATGCAATGTTGATTAAAAAAAAAAATCTGTTACCCTGATATTAATTAAGAAATGAAGCAGTAGTTAACACACTATTTAAAATGCACATAAAATAAAAAAATGCATATGTAAATCAAACAATGTTCTCGTACTTCGCAAATTTTGAGATGTGTAGATCAAGGTATTTTACATGTAGACAAAACCAAAAAGAATAAATAATAAAGTCATGATTCTGTGTTGAGTATTTCCAGTAAAAAACAGAAAATTATAATTATTTGACCTCTGAGTTTTGATAATTCCATACTAAAATACATGTTTAAGTAAAACAATTATTTATAACTTAAAAACATCTATTTTGAGGGCCTCCCCTAGTGGCACAGCAGTTGAGCACTGGGCTGGGAATCAGCCCGCAGCCTGTGAAGCGCCAGTTCCATCCCAGGCCACCGGCAAGGGTCCCACATAGCTTGCAGATCTCTCCTGCCACACCCATTGCTCCCCTTAGCAGTGTATTTCGTCGGTCTGCCCGTTCTGTTCCCCATTCCGACTCTGGTGAATTCTCTCACCCTCCCGCACTTCTGACTATACCCAGTGCTTGTATAAATAAATAAATAAATCTTTTAAAAAAATTAAAAAAAAACATCTATTTTGAAATAATTTCAGATTTATAGAAAAATGTAAAGATATTAAGGAACATTTCTGTAAACCCTACACCCAATTTCCTCATGTGTTAGCATCTTGCATAGTCGCTGTGCATATGTCACAGAAGTTTAAATAGTACAATACTATGAACTGAGGACTATGAAGATTTCAACAATTTAATCACTAGTAATGTTCTTCTGTTCTAGGATATACCTCAAGACAGCATACCTGATAGAGTGGACATGTCACTTCTGTCTCTGATCTATGACAACTTCCCAGTGGTTCTTGGAATCAAATAACATCTTAATAGTGATGAAATTAATTCTGAATACTAAATGCATGAAAACAGTATTCAATATAACCAAAACACCTTTCAGAATAATAATATGAATTAATAAGCAAGATAGTCTAACATTACTATTTACAGTCCAGAATTATCTTCTTCATTAAAAACAGAATTCTCTTTTAAGATGTCAAAACCTTTAAAACATAACATTTTTATGCAGATTTAAAGCATTTGCTAAAATTTCTTTTTTCTGTGTATTGTACTCACTTTGTATATTTAAACAATTTGGACTTCTGGCATTTTTAATTGAGATCACAGTAGAAAGCCAAGATTCAAATTCCCTAAGCTAAAAAAATACATTTAAGCTACAGGTTATACACACCATTTTGGTAATCAACAAATGATTTAAGAAAAACCTGCCTTCAAAAATTTATTCCAAAGAGACTGTCTCATTACAGCAGTAGAAAGTGAATTAAAAACAATATATCTACTGCAGAAGGGGGAACAGGCCCAATGGACTATGGTGTACAATATTTGTGCTTTGGTGGTAGCTGTGGTGTGGCAGTACATTTTTAAATGTGTGAACTTATACCCCTAAGTCATATACAGTGTGGTGAACCAATGTTATCTCAATAAATATTATTTGCAAAAGAAATTCTCTGCTGTGTTTGTTTTGATTTAAAATGGTTTTTGCATCTCTCCCCGCCCCCACCTGAGTTCCCCTTAATGCTGCCTATATAATGATGTGTTCACTTCACTGGCTTACCAGGCAACAAAAAACGGTAAGAATTTACAATATGTTCTAGGAATGAAAGCTCCAAGACTCTCTGAAGCACTGCTCCGGGGAGGCATCAGCATTGTTTTTCTGTGGTGAAGTGGAGGCATGAACTACTTTCCTTCACACAGAGCAGTGAGATCCATGGCGAATATTCGTTTTCTCTGAGATATCGCAACTGACTTCCCCAAAATCCTCCAGGAGTTATCTGGAACACACAAAATAATCCCAGGGGCACCCTGTGATCAATTCAGTACTTCTTTCTTTATTTGCTGGGATTAAGAGTCTGTTATTAAATTTGTAATACTGTATCTAAAATATGTGCAGCAAAGAACCTACCAAAGTTCTAATAAAAAAACAACTTTAACTCCATGACAGACATAAAAGTAGAGGGCAGGGCCTCCCTGGTGGCACAAAGGGTTAAGCACTGCACTGTGAAGCTGTCCGCAGCCTCTGCAGCATGAGTTTGATCCCCAATTGCCAGAGTTCAGGCCTCTCCTGTCTTGCCTGCTGCTCCCCTCAGCAGTGTGTTTCGGTCGGTCTGCCTGTTCTGCTCCCCACTCTGTCTCTGGTGAATCCTGTCATCCCTCTGCATCTCTGCTCAGCTCTTGTATGCATGAATAAATACATCTTTAAAAAAAAAAAAAGTACAGGGCAAAGATGGAAGGGTCCCAAGTGGCTGTCCCTGGGAAATGGAGAAGCAAAATGTGGAATATGTTGCTGGGTTCTTGCATTTCAGGGACCCTTGGTTCTTGAGTACAGTGTGAGAGGAATTCACAGTAGGTCTTTAATGGAATTAAAAGCAAAGTTTATTTTGAGAAAGAATAAATGGACACTCAGAGAGTCTTGGGTAAGAACAACTAAGGGGGAAATGTGGGGGCTTCAGTCTTAAATAAGGTTCAGGAATTGTTCACTCCATCCCTTCCTGGGGTGCACTGTGCAGATGCTCCCCAGGTGTAGTTTATCAATCCTGGCAGCAAGTGAGGGGAATAAAGAACATTTGCCCCGAGTTGTCATGGTGTCAAACAGCCACCTTTCCTTTGGAGGGGGAGACCATTTGGGGGATTTGAGGTATTGCTTGTTCCATTTAGGGGAATTACCCAGCTGTCCAGAAACTGGTCAATTTCAAGGAATTGCCCACCTCTGAGGGCTTCTTGCTCCCCTCAAACTTTGTCGACCTGCCTATAGGTTGGGGTGGGAAGCTGCCTTTCTCCCCTTCAAGCTTTATCAGTTTGGGCAAGTGTTTTCTGGGGTCCTGGATGTACCTGTCTATTTAATTTTCTTTAGGCACTGGCATTCTTGCTCTAAATGTCTGCTAGTGTACACACACAGTGGACTATTTAGTCATTAAAAGGAAGGAAATTCTGACACATGTGACAACATGGATGAATCTACTAGACTTTAAACTCAGAGACATACAACAATTACAAGTAGACAGACCTGCAAAGTCCACTTAGATGAGGTACCTGGACAGCCAAATAGATAAAGAGTAGAATAGTATTTGCTAGGGATTGGGAATGGAGGGCAATGTATCTTTTAATGGGCAGAGTTTCTGTTTTGCAAGATGAAGAGTCCATGGATGGATAGTGGTGATGATTGTGAACAATGTTAATGTATCTAATCCCATGGGACTGACATTTAACAATAATTGAGACGATAAATGTCATGTGATGTATATTTCTCAATATTTTTTAAAAAATTCAGGAGTACTGAAAAATCATAAATGAATAGGAAAAGCCTCATGAATAAGGTAGTTGAATTTGAAATATATCTTTGGGAGCCAACAGAGTTGGGTTTGACGCTGTTTTACCACTTACTGACTCTACATCCTTGGTCTTTCTGGGTTTCCATGGGAAGGCAGTATCTTTATGATCATTATTGTGTTGTTTTGACACACAAATAAGAAAACATGCAACCATTTTTCTTGCAGGGTGAATTTTTAAAAGGTAAATTGATTATAACATGATCTATTTGATAAAGAGGAACAAGATTTGCTTCATGCAGACTGCTTTCACTGTGATTCAAACCTGATGAATCACTTCCAGCCAAAATGAACAACCATGGCTACAAAACAGATGCTGTGTGTGACTGGTTTGCATTTTTATTTATTCTAACAATGGGAAGTAAACATAGGAATTAAGTAAGAAACCTATGTTTAAATCCTGATGGCAAAAAGAGACAGTCATATTATTTTTGAACTGAAGCTAGATGAAATCAAGGCCAGATTTGCTCAGGGGTATTTAGGTTTTATATCCATACATATATAACTATAAAAAATATACCTCTGTTAGTGAAATTTTTGTAGAGGGAAAAATAAAACTTTTATGGTATTATTGTGAGTCATGAACTCTCTGCCTCTTAAGAATTATTTTCATAGGGAAATATATAAATCGTGGCATCTTAAAAATATAATGATTAGCTCTATTAGATTAATAGATGAACAATATTTAGCAAAAGGCTGAGTAGAAGGTTAAAACTTTTTTTTTCTTTTCTTCTATCCTCTCCAATATAGATGTTATATAAATAGGAAGGAGAATAAAACTCAGAGGAGGAAATAAGAATATTAATTTGAAGAGATATTTGAATAAAAATGGGAAATATGGAATATAAATAGAGTGTCTGACTAACGCTCTGTGATTAATGGGTAAGATCAGAAGATTTCTCCTATGATGAGGTAATTCTGAAGAAGTTACAGTTATGTGATAATCTATGCGACATAACCAGGAGAATTTGATCTGAACTACTATTAAAGTCACATCTAGTGGACCTCAAACATTATGAATATATTAACTCCAAAATATCCTGACTAAAATTTAATTGATACTATATGGTATTACAGCAAAATTTCTCTGCTCTGGAGCTAAATGCCTTAGATACATAAACTGTCAGTCATTCTCTCTATATACTGTCAGGGAGAAACCAATGGAAACAGAAAGGACTGAGACTAAGGTGAGTGAGATGGACTCTTAGGTAACAAAATTCTAGGAGGTGCCTATTTTCAGGGGACTACAAGTTCAAATGTCCTTTACTTGTGAATCTGAGGGGGGTCACCCTCACCCTGGTCAGGAAGAGAGGTTTGGATACAAACCTCATGATTCACATGAGGAAAAACCAGAAGAATCACCAGCATATTGAAAAATGGAACCATTTACTTTGATTCACTATATTTGCATTAATATGGTCAAATATTACACTCTCTCTGAACTGTGAATTAAGAAAGTTTTGACAAAATGACTGACTTGAAGTTTTGATCCAAGAGATGTTAGTCTATTTAAACCAATGACTTAAATAAATTAAAACTAACTGCAATGCAAACTTTCTAATTCTGTCGCACCATCTATGAAAGAAACATTGCAAACCCCAGCTAGAAGGACCTGAATCCTAGCAATGGGACTGTGCCTTTTACATGCTACATGGTTCCAACCATGTGAGTCTCTGTCCTGGTGCCTTCATGGGGATGAGGGTTCAATTTGGAGGAGCAAAGCCCAGGCATAAAATGGACCAGAGAACTGATGACAAATCCATCAATACCATGCATGCAGTCTTCCCCGCAAGCTCTTATCTTCTCTGGGCACCAGCTCCTTTCTCTCTAATTAAAAGGTTAAGCAAATAATCAGTGAGGTATACCATGCCTTGAAAGTTTTTTGAAATAATGGCTAATCTGTCTGACTTAACTCATGTGATACATAAAACCACTTTTCCTCAAACTTTCTTCTGGGAAAATCTTTGTCCTGTCCTTACCCAAGATGTAACTCTGGGGCTCTCTGTGAGCCTACCAAAGGCATGGTTATGATAGTATCTCATATCTCCAGTAATTTTCATTCCAATACATGCCGTGGCATTAATCCATAGAGAAGCAAACTATGGGCATTCTAGTATTCCACTCTGCTTTATTAATCCTTTCTCCACATGACAGAATTACTAAATAAAACACAGCTTGCTTTGACCTTTTAATCACTGTAAATTGTTTTCCTACTCCTCATTTATAAATCCAAGTGGTCATTAATTGGCATAACCAGCAAGGATACTGTTAAATGCATAGAGCTAAGGGCTATCTCTTTCAGAACAGCTTTTCCAAACATGCACCCCATTTTTTAAAATACTGTCATTTCAGCACCACTTAACCTCTGCTCTACAGCTGCAGTAAATTCTCTTTAAATTGGGAAGATGTCCCACTACAAATGGAAAGCAAACATTCTGTTAACCAACTTTCCACATGAGGCCACCTCAATTTTGTGGTTTTAGCTGTGTCACTGACCCATTAAGAAACATTCATTACTGCCAATAAAACAAACTGTACTCATGGAGAAATGTCCTTAAAGTTCATGGTCTTCAATAAAGTGTTTAATTTTCAAGACTTTTAAAGAGTATATTAACAGGGCGCAATGCTGGCAAGACTGAGATAGCGTAACTATCAGATACTAGATACCTAGTAATAACAAGTGCCATTAAATATTCTTCTCTCATACAGAATGCTAAGCTAGTAGATTAAGTATAGACATGTGAACTGGTACTCAGTCATTCGTCATGGAGGTTCTCTGTGTCTAGATAAAGGCTTGGCCACTCAGCTCAATACATGATGTGAATCTTTTACAGTCCATTGCAGGCAACCCCGTTTAGAGTTCTCAGTAAAGCATGTAGATGCATTAAATATAAAGGTAGGCAAACTGTGGTCTATAGACCAAATTCAAGCCATTGCCTGCTTTTATAAATGATGTTTTATTGGAATATGTCCATTTGTTTAGTATTACCTAAGCATTCCTGCTACCAGTGAGAGGGTTCAATTATTGTCATTGAGATCATAAAGTTTAAGAAATTGAACATATTTACTATCTGGTCCTTTATAAAAAGTATGTCAACTCCATTGTAACACATTAATTCAAGCTACTTTAATTGTGACCCATGTGATTCAAAAGAGTTATATAAACTGTTATAGTTTGTGGTGGGTACCTTTTAAGGTAATAGAAATACTACATTTCTCCTAATTCATATATTATTTTCTTTTAAATTTAGGATTCTGTGCATTTCAATTGCACAAACATGATTATGAACTTAACAAAGGTTAAATCAGGTCATGACTAGGTGACACAAGTAAGACACTGGACTGGGCTGCAAAATTTAAGGGTATGCCAAAAAAAACCCCTTGTAATCAAGATAATTAATAGTTAATATGACTTTCCAAAAACCAAATCTGATGCAAAAATCCATGGGAAACAAAGCATCAACAATTTTAATCATGACAGTATCAGTAACAGCATCTTAGAAAGTGAGAATTTCAGTCAAATGAGTGATCAGTATTATCAGTCCTGTTTGGAATTCATTGTACATTTTTGGTATCCCTTTCAATTTTGCATCCAAAGACAGATTTACCTCTCACCTCCGCCTAGTTCCACACCTATTTACTCAGCTAACTAAAAGTCATCCAATGACAAAAAGTGTTCAAAAGCCCAATTCTAAATTTGAAGAGAGTTAAAATTTTTGATAATTTGCGAACTCTGGCACCTACTGCTGGTATTGATTATACATACCCCAAAGATGGCATTCCTTCTTTGTTTTCCACATCCTTTCCACTTACCTCTCTCTTGTTACACACTTGGAATTTTTTTTTTTTTAACACACAGACACACATACCTGGTTTTGCTCAGTGTATTCAGAGAGAAAGGATTGACTTCTGCTCTCCTAAGACAGGAATGGTTACTCTGATGTTTCCAGACCATGTAAAAAAAAAAAAAAAAAGATAATAATTGGTGTAAGGACAGTGAGATACCAAGGGGCACAAAGAGTTTTTCATTAAACACAGACCTCATTTCTTTTTTCTTTAGTTAAGAAGTGACAGAAGAATGTGGAGGTATTAATTGAAATATCCCCACTTACTGCATAATGCAGTACTTGCAGGTCCTCAGGGTTACGGCTCATTCTATGTCAGCTTCACCATGAATAATAAGACAAGACTGTGGCAGTGGCTTTCTTAGAGCACAGATGAAGCATGGGTGACTCATAGCTTGTTGCTAATGTTCCCTTCACCTTCACTAAGCTTCTAGCAAGTTTCTGTCTCATGATGGTTGCTGACCTCTTTTTACTTAGAACATTTATGATGGGTGTGACCCTTTACCTCTAAATTATAAGCCAATGTTACCTCAATAAAATAATTTGCCATTGTGAATTTTTTCTCTACTGTGTTGTGATATAAATGTTCTCCCAGATCCAGGCCAGATTTATAATATAGAAATGTTTTCCTCAAGGACTGAGGAGTCATCTCCTTGAAATATAGTCAAGGAAGATTGCGCCCTTATAGAATGAATTGTGTCCGTCCCCTCAAACTTATACATGAAGTCCTAACCCTCTCCCCTGTAACTATATTGGAGGTAAGGACTTTAAAGAGGTGATTAGGGTTAAATCAGGTCATGAGGTTGAACCTTTGATCCAGGGAACCAGAGACCTGGCTTCCGTATAGAAGAGGAAGAAACACCAACTTCTCACTCTCTCACTTTCTTTCTCTCTCTCCCTCTTCTATGAGGACATGCAATGAGGCTGTAGAGTGCAAGTCCGGGTAACAGCTCCCATTGGAAATAACCGGCTAACACTGCGATCTTGGACTTATCACCCTGCAGAACTATGAAAGAAAAGATAATTTTGTTGTGGAAGCAGCCCACTATTTTGTTTGGGCAATCCATGCTGACTTAATCAATGTTCCCATCACCCAGGATCTGCAGAAGGATCGGAGCCAAACTTAGAGAAGTGCCATTAGCTGGCAAAGATGGCCAACTCCACTGATGAAGCTCCTTCCTGACCTCCTCCACTGTGTTTCCATGAGTTCATCTCAGCTCCTAAAAATCCTCCTGTCTTTTGCTGGAGCGACACTGAAGTCAGTCTCTCCCTTGTAACAGTGTTGAATAAAGTACTCCCTGCCTATTTAACCACCTCCCTGTCTATTTAACTCATCCCAGGTTAAATACCCACTGTAAGTTATTCGTTCTCTGCAATCTCTTTGCCATGCACATATTTGTAACCAAAAACTGGATGTAAAGATACATGAATTTTTTTAATGTTCATCCTCAACAGTTTTTGCCTCTAATTATTAGTAATATTTACAAAAGAGATTTATCTCCTTAAGCACAGTGTTGATTCTAATGAATCTGTTCAATTTATCTTATATAGACATTGATTTTTCTTTAATATTGTGGTTGCATTGTGCTACATCAGGTAAACATATTCACTTAAATATTCAGTAAACAGAAAGTTTTGTTGTTCAGCAAATGCATTATTAATTAGTTAATTAATTTTGTTACACTCTTGTTTGTTTTTGTACAGTATTTGATTTCTCCCCTCAGATTTCAGCAAATACTTTTAAGGTAAGTATTTTTTTCCCCCCAAAGAGGGTGATCAAAAGACTCAGTTTACCCTGGACTATCCCCATTTGACAAATGAAAATTTAGTTTCCCAGGAAGCTTCGATTCCAGACAGCTGGTTTAACAGATTTTTTTTTGTCCTCCTCTTCATTTTCTCTACGATTAGCTACCTCCCAAGGTCATAAGGAACATGGTCATGACACATGACCAGCATGTACTCTATTGGACTGATCAACTGATCAACTGTAACACATAAAGGTTGTGGAGGAGGAGAGAGAAAAATAAAATAAAGGCAAAAAAGGAAGAAAAGAGAATAATGGTAAGAAGTGTACTTCCCAGTGCTACTACCCAATGAGGAAAACTCTCATTCTAAAAGATTAATTTATAATTATTAGGTAAATTTACACAGCTATGGTGTATATAAGGCAAAAAAAATTACATTGCAATGTTTTGTATGCATAGATAAAATGTCTACATTTAAACACATTTTCAAGTTAATTTATTCAGCAGTTAATGGTGGAATTACGTGAGGGATATCAATGTATTTCAGAACAAAGATAAATGCTTCCAAGCAAAAGCAACTCAGCATATTCACTCTGCACAAAAGAAAAATGAAAGACAATTTTAATAGGGGAACCAATCACTGAACAATCCTGCAAACATGAAAAGTGTTTGAGTTATTTCTTCTGTGAGTACCCCTAACATTTTTATTAACTTCCAAATACATAATAATGACATTTCAGGAAAATCACCATATTAGAGACAGATTTTAGGAGGGAAGTTATTCCCTGTGCCCAGTTCTACAGCTATCATGATAATAAAAGTTTCCTGCCCATGGAAACATTTAACTGCTTCAATGTTCTTACACCTTCAACTTGACAGAGCCAAGGACACAGACACATGCACAATGAAACCTGAAATTCCTCAGTTGGTAATACAGGAAAAAAGTGCTTTTAATACATATAAGTTATTTTCTTCTGAACTTTAAAGGAAGTAGTATAAAAGTGCATGCGCGCGCGCGCGCACACACACACACACATATGTATGTATCACATAGTTTTCTTCTTAACAATTCTATTTAATTCATTATATCCTCTGAGGAACATCTTTTCAGATGTATAAGTTTAATTTATTCAGGTGTCTACGACTCTTCAATGTAAAAGATAATATTTGCTTATTCGTGTGTATAACACACATAGAGCTTACTTAGCTTTAGAATATACATAATTTTCTAATCCTATATTTTCTTCAAATTATCAGTAACCTCTGATAATGGTTTCACCTTTATAAGCTATCCTTGATCGGAGAATTTTATGAAGCAATGGATATTATTGTCAAGATTTAGATATACAGAATTATTTTCCCTTTATCATGTTTCATCATGCCCAGCTCCTTACTCACCTTGTAGTTTTATCTAGTTTGCCACTTCTGCATGTGTATATCAGAAATAATCAGAAGGACTGATGAACATACAGATGTCTGGGCCCAATCCATGGAGGTTCTTATTAGATAAAGGTCACGTATCCTGGTTGAGTTTCCACAAAGCCATCTTAATTAAGCAGTGCTGGGCAGGTCTCAGTAACTTTACAAAATATATCAAATAGCATTCTTTTCTCCTAGTGAGAAAAAGTAAAGCAAATTCTATGCAGAAAAGGTTTTTAGATATGCAAAGCAGAACGAAAACCCACCATTCATCCTTTGACCATAGAATCCTCTAACTCAAGGTCTTTTCTTTCTGTTATTATCTTCCTTGTAATCTTGCAGGCACCTGACTTTGGAATATGAAAATTAATTGCGTAAAAAGATGAGGAGACAAAATAATGACTCTGTCTTCCCTGTGTTGTCACAACTAGAGGATACTAATAGCAGAGGAAAACTATACTAAACAACACCAGGTCCTCAGAACAACAGAACAACAGAATGTCAGACCCTACACAGGACACAGAGAGACACAAAGTGAATGGGGTCTACCTGGAGCATGAAACCCAATAAAATACAAGAAGAAATCTGCACGTCCACTATCACTCAGATCACACCTGCCAAGATCTTCCTTTTGTGGCTATCTTTGATAACTCCCCAAATTTCCTTCATTTTACTCCTTGTGAAGCTGCTATACAACAGGACTAGTGAAAAACAAAAGGGGTGATAAGAGACACAAGGATTAAATTCAGAATGTTTGTTCTTCAAGGGCAGTGGATTTAATGCTACACCCAAAATGTTCTACTTTCAAGACAGTTTGACTTCATTTTCCCAAACGGCCCCCATGTCATTACCAGAGCCACATGTGACTTCACGCAGAGTGACCTTTTACCTTAGACAGGTGCCTTCTGAATGGTCTCAGATTGTGGTAGAAAAGAATGTGCTCCCAGGTCCAAGAAAGCATTTTTCAAAATCCAACAGGGACAGATAAGAGGACTAAATGATAGAAACTGTATTTATGGGAATCTCCATAAAATCATGTTTGACATTCCCCAACATATTTTTAATAAAACACATTTATTAAGACATGTATCATTTTCCTATTATCATTTTATGAATATATAGTCAATGTAAAATATATTAATTGAGAGAGATGGAGAGGACGAGGTAGAAAGAGATCTGTAATGGGGGACATTATGGTAATAAAAAAAGTGAAAAAGGTTATTTTTATATTTAGTAGATTGAAACAAAGTGCTAACTCCATTTTCCTCTCTAAAAAAGGCATTAAAAGTGCATTTACTTTCATGGTTATAATTTTTTTTTATAATGATAGATTTTTTTTAAGATTTATTTATTTATTTTTACAAGCACTGGGTACAGTCAGAAGCGTGGGAGGGTGAGATAATTCACCAGAGCCAGAGTGGGGAACAGAACAGGCAGACTGACGAAGTATACTGCTGAGGGGAGCAGCAGACGCGGCAGGAGAGGTCTGTTGTGCCATATGGGACCCTCTCTGGGGGCCGGGGATCGAACCGGTGCTGCAGAGGCTGCGGGCAGCTTCGCAGCCCAGCGCTCAACCACTGTGCCACCGGGGAGGCCCCATGGTTATAAAATTTTAACATTTATCTCTCCTTGATACATTAGATACTCTAAAAACAAAATCGGTTGCCATTTTTTATTAGTCTGACTAATCATGTAGGCATATGACAGGTAACATGACAGAAACAGGACACCGGGAGTCAAGTGCACAGTGGGATTTAATACATAGGAACCAGGAACTGTGTAGAAAGCTTAGGATATTACTTTGCTTCACATGGCAGAATGCTAACAGTAAGGCTCATAAGCAATAAAAGGAAGTGTTATAGGACAGGGAGAGGGTCAGCCCAAACCCTGCAAACCTGCCTATTCTAAATGGGTTCTGCCATCCGCCG